GAAGAATACGCCAAGTAAGATGGAAAACATTGGTGTTATCATGAAAATATAACCAATGTTATATGTTATGCAATGTTATGCAATGTTATGCTTTAAAAGTCAACACGTTCTTTGATAATTCGATTATATGAATTATTTGATATATTTGGTTCTCAAATTATTATAATTCCTCCCAAGTAAATGTACCGTTAAATTTACATATATTTATTTTTGGAATTTTTAATCTATCTCAACGAAATAAAACATTTTATTAAAAAGAGAAAAAAAATGCTATAATATATTATAAAATATTTAACATCTACCGAAACTCTCCAGATAAGTACAAAAAAAATCAATGTATTTTACAAAATCACAAGAAGAACGTATTTACCGAGTAAATAAAGTATGTTTTAAGTGAGGAAGGATTAGCTAAGCGCACACAAAGGGGCCACCGAACTAGCCCACATCTGTGACTGTAAGTGCATACAAAAGGGGCCACCATACTGGAGCACATCTGTGAATGTAAGTGCACAGATGTTCACTGATAAGAACAACTTATCAGTGAACATCTTATGTTCACTGAAAATACTGAGTGAGTTCAATTACAGTCAAGGTTACTCTGGTGTAGACCAACCGGCTGTTATTTGGGGTGTTACTGATGCGCCCAGCTGGGAGTGTGTTTACAATCACCCATTGTTGTCTGTCTGTCTGTCTGTCTGCCTGTCTGTCTGTCTGTCTGTCTGTCTGTCTGTCTGTCTCTCTCTCATTCTCTACTTGGTTAAAACAAAACAAAAAATTACAACAAATATCGCAGTAAACATTAACAAACACTGTCATTGTAAATCCCACTAACAGACACTGTCATTGTAAATCCCACTAACAGACACTGTCATTGTAAATCCCACTAACAGACACTGTCATTGTAAATCCCACTAACAGACACTGTCATTGTAAATCCCACTAACAGACACTGTCATTGTAAATCCCACTAACAGACACTGTCATTGTAAATCCCACTAACAGACACTGTCATTGTAAATCCCACTAACAGACACTGTCATTGTAAATCCCACTAACAGACACTGTCATTGTAAATCCCACTAACAGACACTGTCATTGTAAATCCCACTAACAGACACTGTCATTGTAAATCCCACTAACAGACACTGTCATTGTAAATCCCACTAACAGACACTGTCATTGTAAATCCCACTAACAGGCACTGTCATTGTAAATCCCAATCACCAAGACTGTCGCTGTGTCTCCAATCACAAAGACTGTCATTGTAAATCCCAATCACCAAGACTGTCGCTGTCAACGCCAATCACAAAGACTGTCATTGTAAATCCCAATCACCAAGACTGTCACTGTCAACGCCAATCACCAAGGCCGTCATCGTAAACGTCATCATATCCCGGTGATAAAGGAGCACCAGGAACACAGCCCCGGTGACCACATGCTCCATAATGACATCCGGGACCTGCTATCTGCTCGCCCGTATTAATCACCTTCACAACGGCACAAGTTTTAGACAACATTGTGACCGTCAGAATGGAGTCATTTCTGGGGCAATACCAGCCATTATCGGTACAGGGGGCAGCTGGGGAGGCCCCGCCCCCGTGGGGGAGTGGAGGTCCCCGTTATCGGTACAGGGGGGCAGCTGGAGAGGCCCCGCCCCCGTGGGGGAGTGGAGGTCCCCGTGGGTAGTGGGGACGCCCTTGGGGTTGGGGGGTGGGGGGGAAGGGGGAGGAGGAGCCCATGGCGCTGGAGAGGCTCGTGGGGGGGGGGATATAGTGGTTATAGGAGCCGTTGTGTGGGAGGATTGGGGTGAATGGAGCTGCTTGGGATTCGATTCACCCCCTTTGGAAGGGGTGAATGGAGGGAGAGGGGGATGTAGGCTCCTGGGGAGGATGAGGGAACAGGTGCATTAATTAGGGAACCTGCTAATTACCTTACCTTAATTAAGGTAAGGTAATTATATGGAGAAATCGCTGATCGCTGATCTTACTCCCCCTCCACTTGGATGGGGAGCAAGGACAAGACGCTGGGATTCGAAGACGGGGGTGAAGGAACGATGCTAAACCAAATGCTTAACCTTCAAATGCCCCAAGAGGGCATTTGATGGCATATGACTTCAAATGCTCTCTTGGGGACTGTAAGCCTAAAAAAACTCAGTATATAGGCAAGACAACAACATCTCTTTCCAGGCGTTTAACGATGCATAAGCAACAGGGCTCCATTAAGGAACATATAATCTCTTCCCACAACCAAACCATCACCAGAGAAATCTTAGCAAACAACACAGAAATCATCGATAGATACAGCGATAGCAGGCGGCTTTACAGCTGCGAGGCACTGCACATCAAGAAGTCAACACCAGCAATCAACACCCAATTAATGCACAACTATATTCTACCCACTTCAAGACTCCGCTCCAATATAGAAGCATCAAGAAATATGGGCCAATAGGCCATCTGCAATTACTTCCATTCTTACTTCAATACCCATTGTTTCGTGTTCTGTCTTGTGTTGAAAGTTTGTTTTCACCTCATCCAAAACTGTTGTAACATATCACCTCACCCAAATGCAGGTATAAAAAATCGAAGATGTTTAAGCTCTATTCAGTTATAGTTGTGTGTGTGTAAACTAAAGTCTTTGAAAACGTAATAAGTTTTACGAAACGCGCTCAAGTGTCGCGTCAGACTAGAAATAAAAATGAATTTTGGAGAATTGATTTTTTAATTACCATCAACAGTGAAAAGAAACATAAGAAAGATCGAGAAAATTCGTGTTACAATTATCAATCTTACTTTTCCGGTCATATTTAATAATATATGTATACAGGAACGACTGCTACCAAAATATACTAATATATAAATATATATATATATATATATATATATATATATATATATATATATATATATATATATATATATATATATAATATATATATATATATGACGACTGAAAACTCACACCCCAGAAGTGACTCGAACCCATACTCACAGGAGCAACGCAACTGGTAACTACAGGGCGCCTTAATCCGCTTGACCATCACGGCCGGACAAAAGGAAGTGGTAGCCAAAGCTATTTGAACCACTTCCCCGCCGGCAACTCGGATGGTAATCTATGGTTTGCAGATGGTGGATGGTTTGATTTGGTGAAATGCTATGCCCAAGATTACCATCCGAGTTGCCGGCGGGGAAGTGGTTCAAATAGCTTCGGCTACCACTTCCTTTTGTCCGGCCGTGATGGCCAAGCGGATTAAGGCGCCCTGTAGTTACCAGTTGCGTTGCTCCTGGGAGTATGAGTTCGAGTCACTTCTGGGGTGTGAGTTTTCAGTCGCATATAGTCCTGGGGACCATTCAGGCTTGTT